TAGCATCCAATCAAAGATTAACAAGCATGCAAATGAGCAGGGAAATATAATCCATAATGGGAAGAAATATCAATTGAAACTGGCCCAGAATTAGAATTAGCTAATAAGGACATTAGAACAGTTATTTTAACTGTACTTCATAATTAAAAAATGTTAGAGATACGGAAGACATAAAAAAGACCCAAGTTGAACTTCTGGAGATGAAAACTGCATGTGTAAGGTGAAAAATATACTGAATGGATTAACATCAGATTAGATACTGCTGAAGAGACGATTAGTGAACCTGAAGATTTAGTGATGGGAACTATGCAAGGTGTAACACACAGAGAAAAAAATAATGTTTTAAAAAAGGACAGAGCATCAGTGAACTATGGGACATCAAGCAGTGTAAGATGTGTAGTTGGATTCCCTGAGGGAGAAGTGAGAAAGGTGGGATTGACAAATATTTGAAGAAAGAATGGCTGAAATTTTACCATGTTGGAGGAAAAGCTTTGGCATCAGGTAGATCCTGGTTTGACCCTGACCATACCACTTACCAGCTGGGTACCTGGGCATATTACTCACCTGCTCTGGGCTTGACCGGTCAACTCAAGATTCACCAAGTAACTTACCTTCTCATAGAGTTACTGTGAGGCTCACAGGAAATGCCGTTCTGAAGCACTTGGCCCAGTGCCTGATATGAATCTACTATTATTTTTATTAGAATCTTTACCAGCTCTGGCCTTCTGTGTTTTGCAGAGATTTTAATGTTGAACCTTTGGTTCATTGATAGGGTGCTTATGATATCCTAGGTGCTATGCTAATTGTTTTATTTGTATAAATTTATTGCATCCTTTCACCAGTCTCTCAGGAATGTATATATTTTACACTGTTCCCCATTTTATAGATGATAAAACGGAGGCACATAGGATTAAGTAGCTTGCCCAAGACCACAGCTGGTGATGGCAACGCTGGAATTTGAACTCCTGAACTCTGCTAACTTCTGAAAGGCTTGGATTATGTTTTGCCCAGCCTTCTTGTTTTATAGTTCAGTAGACTAAGGCCCAGAGAGGCTAAGGGTCTGGCCAGAGGTAGCCCAGCAAGTCAATAGCAGAGCCAGAGCCAAAACCTGGTGCCTAGCCCAGAGCTGTTTTCATTGCCCTGTTGCAACTCTCTAATAGCACGAAGAGCGCCAAAGCTGTTAGTCAATAGTATTTGCCAACATGTGCAATCAGTTTTTTGAACTCAGACAGGCCTGAGCCCTGGGCAAAGCCCCCTTCCTTTCCTCCTCTGCGTCTCAGTGCAGGTGAGCAGCTCCCTTCAGTCTTGTCCTCTCTAGCCAGCTCCCAAGTGCTCTGATGGAATAAGTCATGAAAACATCTCGCAGCGCCATTTGCATTCAGAAGAGCTGATGGCAGTGGATGATGCTCGGTTGCAGTGGCGCCTTCCTGGTGGCAGGCTTCAAGGCGTCTGTGCTGGAAACGTTTCCTGGTTCGGGCCGAACCTCACCTGCACCCAGAAATCATGCTCATAGTTTATTCTCTCTTGCTTTATTCACTCACTTATCTGACCAACTGGTTGGGCACCCAAAGGTCAGGGACTCGGCTTGGTAAGGGTGATACAAAAGTAAAGATGGGGGAAGATAGAGAAGGGAACAGACGACTGCAGTTGTGATGGTAAGTGTTACTGAACCAGCATGGAATGCATGCCTCCCTGCCTGGGCTTATCAGGGAAGGCTTCCTGCAGGAGGTGACATGAGCTGGGCTTTAAGAACTGATACAGTATCACCTCTTCCCATTAGAAGATGAATTCCAGGAGAGTAGAGACTGAAGTGTTTTACTTACTGCTATGTCCCTAGCAGTCAGAACAATGTTCAGCATAGTAGGTGCTCAATAAGTATTTGTTGAATGAATGCACAGAAAAACAAGGATCCAGGAGGGGATCCAGTATTCCTTCCAGACTGAAGGAAGAGCCTGTGCAAAGCCATGGTGGTAAAAAGGGGCTCGGCTCATTTGAGAACGGCAGGAGGCTCCTGGTGGCTTCAGCATAGGGTGCATGGCACCAGGATGGAGGAGCCATGCTGGGGATCAGAACAGGAGGGTCCCTGAACCACAGGGTGAGTTTGGACTTATATATGGACTTGGCTCCAGGCAAGGGGAGGTGCAGATGGGTTTTAATCAGGGCGGTGCCATGGTCAGCTTTGTGCTTTAGGAAGATCGTCCTGTCTGTGGTACGGAGAACAGAAGGGGGGTGAGCGGGAGGTGGGGTGCTGGGAGCTCAGAGCAGCAAGGACCTCTGGCGAGAAATCCAGGCTTGACCGAGGAGGCCCAGGGCGGGCTGGTGTGGAGGCTGGTGGAGCTCTGGTCCCTGCCTCGCCTTCCCTGGCCTCTTGCCTCAAGGCGTGTGGTCGTGCGGAAAGCCCGCTACCATCCCACCAGGAGAAGCCTCCCCTCGTTAGAATTCTGGGCCACGGCGCCTCGTGTTAAAGCTGATATTGAGCCGTAAAATGTAATATGTTATGACACCATAAAACGCAGTGTAATTGCTACAAAACCATAAAATGTAATGTAACAGGCGCAGTGTCCATTACCCCGCTCCACAGTTAAGTTCCACTGCGCCCTTAGACAAACAAACAATTCCGGTGCACCGCTGCCTCCCGAGCCGGTGCAGGAGGTCGCCCGGGTGCGCGTGACTGTCACGCACACCAAGGGGGACGCAGGGTGGTGTGGACGACAATCCCCAGGCTTGGTGGTTGGACAGAACCTAGGGTCCAGTTCTGTTCAGTAACGTGTTGATCAGCATCCTGAAAAGACTAAGATTCAGACTAGATTTTTCCTGAAATCCCATTTGCCTAGCTCCTCCCTCTGCCCTAGTCTGCTTCTCTCCTCCTCCTCCTCCTGCAAGGGAACAGCTGGTGGGCACTTACACCCCCACATCAGGTGGTCATTGGGCCCAGAGTCTTCCCTGGGGAGGGATGCGACCTTCCAGGCACCTTGGAGCAGGACACGCAGGTGTGAGCCTTCGCAGCCAACCTGCGCAGTGGTTGGGTGATGGGTGCGCCGGTGAAGGGGGCGTGTGTGGGGAGGGAGGTGGCACCAACAGCAAATAACTTACACTATGTAGCTCTGTCACGTTGGCTAAGAGACTTTCCCTTTTGGTTAATTTCCTCTTTATAAAATGCAGGCAGTATCACCTATATTGTAAGGTGCTTGTGCAAATTGAATGAGATCAGAAGGAGTCTTGCATAGTTCTAGGCCTGGAGAAAACACCTTAATACACAGATATTCTCTCATAAGTATACCCACATCCACACGGTGTCACATACCTGTACTCAGTGCATTTTAAAATTACGTAGCACCCACACTGTGGGAAACACTAGCGCATATGTGTTTACTGAAGTAAATATGCGTGTAGAAATGAACATGCATCTAAACATGCATATAGAAACTCTACAGGCACATGACAACGCTGTGCTAACAAAAGGGGTGCCCTGATAATGTAACTCCAGGAGGGGACAGGGACAGGGACTCCCCTGGATGATTATGCTGCGAGGGATTCTGTGCAGCTATACCATCGGCTGTCACCTTTACCTGCCCCATCCTGAAGCCAAGCTACGTCTTCGCAATGAGCCCGAGGTGTTTGCAATAGATGGAGAGGGCATCATGCTGCCTGTGATGAGGGGAGGGACAGGGCACCAACACATCCTGCTACCGGAGAAGAGAGGGGGCTCCAGGGGGCTGGTGGGAGCTCCATGAATTTAGACTAAAGATCCCACACCCATTAGCGAGCTGGGGAGTGAGCTAAATAGAGGAGAGTCGTCCCTCCCATCTCCCCACCCATGGGAACCCCGTACAGGAAATGGGTGACTGAGACACAAGGAAAGGGCCTATTGTGTCTGTCTCTTTGGATTCAGGGCATGTGCGTGACCTTCCTCTGGGAAATGTTCGGTGTGCGTCCTCCTCTTCCATTCTACACCGTATAGTGTGATGTCCATTGTAGCATTTAGGGTTCGATTCAGCTGCCAGAAGCAGAGGCACAGAAACATGGACCAGCACAAGATAGAAGTTTATTCTCTGTCATGAAAAAAAGATCAGAAGGAGAACAGTCCAAACTCAAGTTCTGCTTCCTGTCTACCCAGGGGCCGGGAAGTGATATGTAAATGAGGGAGGCAGGTGGGCGCTGTGGGGAGGGAGGGGCACAACCTCATCCAAAGGGGAGGTTGCCCAGCTTCACCCAGTTGTTGGCGTGGGGAATCACATGGGCTCAAGGTTGCGTGATGCTTTGATTTTTTTTTTTTTTAAAGAGAAGCTTAACACCTGAATTTGGTGTGTGAAATCTGACTTCTAAATGTTGACAACTAAAAATTTTGAAAGCGCTCTGGACCTAGTAAAACCCTGAGTGGGACATAGTTCATCTGGGCGGCCAGTCTGTGACTCCCAATCCAGTGAGAACCACATTGAAGTTGTGTGCCCACCTGCGCAGGCGTGTGTCACCCGTGAGGACATCAGCGTCCTGAAGGCACTGTTCACTGAGCCATGTCCAACTGGTGGGCGCCCCAGGATTCAGCAGTGAACGGTGGGGCTCACCTGAGTGTGTGAGTTGAAGGCTTGTCCTCCTCCGGGAGGTTTTAGGCTGTGTATCCAGTCGGAGATTCCAACTGGTGGGCGCCCCGGGATTCAGCAGTGAACGGTGGGGCTCACCTGAGCGTGTGAGTTGAAGGCTTGTCCTCCGGGAGGTTTTAGGCTGTGTATCCAGTCGGAGAAGCAGAACCATTCTGAGTTGCGTAAGGTCTTTACTATAAGGTTATGATCGTGGGAGTTGGGGGGCTGCCCACGTAACCCGTTGCCCCTGCATCGGGTGCTGAGCCTGAAGTCAGCGCAGCTGTCAATCAGAAAGTGACAGTGACGGGAGATGGGAGAGGGCAAGGCAACGTGGAACCCACAGTATGAGAAGATATGTCTTCCTGAGGCCCATGTCAGTCTCCTGTTGCCTCCACACTTCAATGATGCTCTGATTTGCAGGAGGACCATGCACCCAGGTGCACCCAGATCTGGGATTGGAGAAGGAGACAGAGGAGATCTGGCAGGAGATGGAGGAGCCACGGAGCGGCCTGCTGCCCACCAGTCCCCGACAAGGTAAGCCACCGAGTTCAGGACGATGGATGAGTTGCGACAGTGCCTCAACTTCCCTGGACCCTCTGAGCATAAACATGGCTGGCTTCTCCCCAAACCACCCAAGTTTCTCCTGAGGCCAACTCTAACCTAGCTCCCTGCAGGGAAGGTGATTGGGGGAAGTGGTTTCAACTTAAGTGACATGACACAGTGCACAGCCACGCAGACCGGGGAGACAGAGTGAAGGAGGGAGCGCGTTACAGATGGTGAGGTTACAGAGGGGGGCGGGGGTGTAGGTGCTCACCCAACAGGCCGCTGAGGTGGTCTAGGAGCTCAGGCAGAAAGTGGGGGCCAAGCTGAGGAGCGAAGGGGAAGTAGGAGTCAGCCAGGTGAGGTGAGTGTGGTGGAAGAAATTAGTGTGCAGAGGCCAGAGAGAGAGAGGAGAGGGGAAGAGGAGGGGGTGGGCCCTGAGGAGAAGGGGGAAGAGGGAGGGAGGAAAAGAGAAGCAAGGTAGAGAGCCAGGTACAAACCGAGCAACAGAGACAAAGAAAGAAGCAAACAGAATGTCAGAGAGAGGGACAGAGATCAGAGAGAATTAAGGAATTTAAGAAGAGCATATGGCCCTGGCTGGTGTGACTCAGTTGGTTGAGCATCATCCCATGTACCAAGAGGTCGCTGGTTCGATTCCCTTTGAGGTCACATGCCCAGATTGCAGGCTGGATCCCCAGTCGGGGGCAGGAGGCAGCCAGTCATTGTTTCTCTCATGGATGTTTCTCTTTCCCTCTCCCTTCCTCTCTCTCTAAAAAAATCAATTAAGAAGCATTAAGAAAATGAAGAAGAAGAGTATGTGTTTAGAACATAGAATGGAAGAAGAATGGTGTGAGGTGGAGATGGGCTGGAAAAATGATCAGGACTGGTAACATAAATACACAGAGAGAGAGACCCATGTAACAATGACAACTCACCCAGTCAATATATATATGCATTCACATCTTTCCATACAGAGGCACAAGAAATCTACAGTAAAACCCCACTAATTCCCCCTCCATTCCCTCACAGGAGTTCATTCTGGCCAGACCCTGAGCAGGGCTTTGGGGGCCCTTCTCCATGACCCCTGTGCTGGTGGAGGGGTGGCGTGGACCCTGGGCTCACCACAGCCACCTCCTGGGGAGAAGGTGACCCTTTCTGAGACGATAGAAACCCATGACTGTGCCAATCCCAGGCTCTGCCCCTGGGGGCCCTGAGACGAGACCTTGTTTCTGATGCATTTTCCAACTCCCGTCACAATGTTATTAGTGAACATAACAGACCCTAAAAGCAGGGAGGCAGAGGGGCCGCATAAGGTCTCCACTATGAATTTTGGTGAGACACCCAGAGACTCGGTGGACGGGAAGGACTCAGAGCTGGTGACCAGGGACGCGTGGTTGGCAGCTGGGGTTTGAAAGCAGGAAAGAACAGAATGGACCGCCCAGGGTCCTTCTGCACAGCCAGCTGCCTGAGCGTCTGTGCGTGCCCCTGTGTGTGTGTGAGAAAGAACCATGTGGATGGATAGCTAGGGGTATCCATGGTGCAAACATTTGTGTCCGAGTAAATGGGAGAGGACTTCGAAAACCCGGGGGCAAACTGGAAGGTTTTCTCAGGACAGAGGAAAACAGATTTTCTCCTGCATTTCGCCTCCCCTCCCTTCTGCTTATTGAAAGCATTTTTTAGGGGATGAAAAAAATATATTTACTGTGAGACAGATGCAAGGAAAACTGTGATTTTGACAGTTCTGCTAGTTCTTAGGGTTAAGATGGAGACCTGCGCTAGATGCCTCTTTCTTTTCTGAGGATGCACCATCCAGAATTTTGCGTGACGCTAAGGAAGGTCCTGGAGTTTGTTTCCAAAGGAGATGGAAAAAGAAAATTCATTTGCTTAACAAAATAAAATTTGGTAGATGTTCTCTGGCACCGGGATGTTGGCAAAGTGTGTCCCTCAGGGGTAGTGCAAATGCATAAACAGGCAAGGCATCAGGCAGGGACCTCGGGGGAAAGACAGTCTGTGGGAGTCCCCGCAGGGTCTTAGTTAAGGAGCTTTGAGGATGGAGGCGGCTGAGTAATACATTTCGGTTGTTTCCTATTCTGCTCTACAGTGTAATTCACTCTCGGTATCACTAAATCTCCCATACACGTCTGTGAATTAGTTGAGGTAAAGGTTAAGCTGCTGTAACAACCCCAAATGCAGTGGATTAAAGAAGACAAGTTTATTTCTTATTCATGAGACAGCCCTGAGGTGCGTGGGCTGGAATATGCCAGGCTTTGTCCACACCCTCCTCCAAAGCCTAGGTTTCTCCCCTAGCACTGTCCTCGTGGCCATGGTTCAGCCGCAGCCAAGCACGCCCCTGGGCCTGCGTATAAAGGGGGAAGGAAGAGAAAGAGCGAGGTGCGGTGCGCAATGTTCTTTTAAGCAAATGTTGCAATGCTAAACACATCCCCTTTGCTCATGCAGCCAAGCACGCCCCTGGGCCTTCGTATAAAGGGGGAAGGAAGAGAAAGAGCGCGGTGCGCAATGTTCTTTTCAGCAAATGTTGCAATGCTAAACACATCCCCTTTGCTCACATTCCATTGGTTCAGACTTAGTCACATGGTCCCATCTCGCCCCAGGAGTGGCTGGGAAATGTAGTCCCAACTGAGCAGCCATGTGCTCAGCTATTACTACGGAAGAAAGGGAGAATGGAATTTGTTAGAAAACTGGCAGTGTCTGTTGCTGTCTGAGACCGGTCTGGGCCACCATAGTTTCCTACTTGGATTATTTGTGATAGTCTCCCCGCTGCACCCTTACTCCCTTCACTCTGTTCTCAAAGCAAAAGCCGGAAGTGCTGCAAAAACATGTATTCTCTGCTCAGAACTCTCCTGTGGTTCCCACAGGCTCTGTGTAAAAGCCAGAGTCCCTGGAATCACTTAGCCAACCCCACACGATTCCCAGCTCCCACCCACTTCTTACCTCACCTCCGTCACTCTCCGCCTGGCTCGCTTTCTCCAGCCGCACTAGCCTCTGTCTTCTTCAGATCCCTGGGGTTGGCACGCTCCAACCGCAGGGCTTTTGCCTGTGCTGACCCTCTGCCTGAAGGGCTTTCCCCCCAGGTACCCATCCCCTCACTCCTCAAGGGCCGCCACCTCATTTCAGATGACATCTCACTCCCTAACGCTCTCTCTTCCTCTGACAGTCTGTTCACTCTGTGTGTTGTACACCTCTCCCCTGTGCCCATGCACACTTGGTCATAGCTGTTCCTCTTGTCGTCGCTTCAGCTGAGTTATGAGCTGTCGGTCCTTGCATGTTGTTTTTAATTGCCACTTAAACTGTCTTCAAAAAGATTATGCTGTGATATGACTTGGCATTGAAGGGGAAAGTTTCTGTGTACGCAGAAAGGCCACCAACAGAGTGAGGGAGTGGATATTCAGTATGAATGAAGCAAGTCCTTGTCATTGGGGAATGACTCCAATATCGAATTTTCTGGCAAAGTAACAACCATTGCATTTTGTCACTGAGATAGGTGCACAAGGGTGCCTTGTCATATACCAGGCCAGGCACCAAGAGGCAAGAGAAATGGCCAAATCACTCAAAATAGATGAAGGAAATTTCAAACAAGGAATATTGTGACCAATTAAGGTGTTACATAAGACTATTTAGGCATTGGGTCGTCTTAACTGGAAGAAATTCATTTCTGTATTTCTTAATTTTACATAAAATAATGGTGTGTCTTAAAATTGACAACATTTTCCATTGAGTGAAAGAATTGAATTCAAGTTCGTTAAATACATGCGATGCAATTCCAATTTAATGATCAGTGAACTCTCATGGCACAAAACGGATGTCTTGTGTTTTTAAAAGACCTCTATTTCCTCTGTCTTTCCAAAGACCTCTCCCAGCATGCAGTAAGGACAGGGAGGAAAGAACTCCCCATTTGACTGTGAAATGTATACATGCATGTAATGTATGGACATGCACCAATACCAGCAAGAGGAGGTACAGCCATTGATTCAGAAATACTGGTTCTAGGGCAGCGGTTCTCAACCTGTGGGTCGCGACCCCTTTAGGGGTTGAACGACCCTTTCACAGGGGTCGCCTAAGACCATTGGAAAACACATATATAATTACATATTGTTTTTGTGATTAATCAGTATGCTTTAATTATGTTCAATTTGTAACAATGAAATTGGGGGTCACCACAACATAAGGAACTGTATTAAAGGGTCGCGGCATTAGGAAGGTTGAGAACCACTGTTCTAGGGGTTTATCCTGAGAAAGAAAGCATGACTGTGGGCAAGTATTTAGTCACCAGGATGCTTTCCTCAGTTTTGCTTATAAACATGAAAAAATTAGAAAGAATTTCAATGTGCTTCGATAGGAGGGTGCTGAAATTACTTGATGTCCATATAGCGGAGCAGCAGAGGAGGCAGACATTAAAAACGAAGTGATGCTGATGGCATGGAAAGAGACACATGGTGTGGGATGGTGAAAAGGAAGAGGCAACCCAAACTCAGTGCTATGTCTTGTAAACTAATAGCAGTAATAATAATAATGTCGGTATCGATTCCACATATGAAGGTTGAAGGAAACAAATGAGATGTGGTGGGAGTTATTGCTTCTGTGGAGGGGGAATGCGGGCGATTTTTGTTTTCTTCTGAATTTCTGATTCTCCTTCAATAAAATATTTTTATGTAGTTAGAAAATAATAAGATTAAAGGGGGGAAAGGAATTGATGTAGACCCTGTGGGAGAAATGAAGACAAGCCACCCTCACGGGCGCCCCCTCTGTGGTATTTCTGTGGCCCATAGGCTCCTGCTCTTGTAATGACTTTGCTGAAAAATAGACAACATTCTAATCATACTCCCAATAAAAGTATTTCCCTGGCAAATATTTTTAGCTCCATAAACTAAGCCCTGGCAGTAGTGGAAGACGGTGGGTGGGTGTCTGCCTTTGTGTGGGAAGCCAGGGATGGCTTTGTCAGTGTGTAATATTTGCTGCTTGGATGAATGTGTTTT